ACGAACGCAAGTCTGCAGAGCGCAAGCCGATGCAAAGGCCAGCGATTTGTTCTAGTAACGAAGGGGCCCATGAGGAAGTAAGTGGTAATCACAGCAGGTACGTCTGGCTGATCAGGCCAGATATCAGCACCGAACTTGACCCTCTTCGTTGGATCACCAGTCAAGTCCGTGGGTGATCCCCCTGCTTTAAAAGAAGAAACCATCAAACACAATCCAGGGGATCCCTGTGACTACAAGGGGCGCACACACACACACGCCCAGGGCCTCCCTGGAGGGCTCGGTGGCGCAAGGTCGGGCCAAAAGCCTTGGTGGCACTCATGATAACCCGAGTGTGAGCAGGGTGAAGAAGAACCTTAGTTCGTTCAAATTTTTCCGACTAGCCTGGAAGCCAATCCAGTCAGCGATTTGCATTTAGCATCATTTAGCAATCAGCATTTCCACGCCGAGAAGAACCCGTGAATGTTCTACTCGTTGGTAGAATCCAATAATGTCTTGTTGTCGGAGTGTCAAGATCAATTTCTTGACACGTCCGGTGTGCAAAGAGACGTTGAATATCTGTGAGAATACCGGTGATAGCAGCCACTTCCAGTGAACATGGACAACAAGAACAAGAATCAACAATCTTCCGCTTGTGATAGCTGCTTACACACACACACACGGCGCTCCCGCCGAAAACTAAGTTTTGTTGCTAGCAATCGCCAAAGGGTATTTCAATGCAGGAAAATGTTGCGATGTAGACTGTAAAACATGAGCTGGATGCTGAGTGCCTGAGTGAAACGCATCCGACTCCTGAAACTTACGAGGCAACAAAGAATGCCACTGACGTGGACGCGACAACAAAACACTGTCAGAGAAGTGGTCGGCGGGGGAGGCTGCAAACGGAACCACCTTCTTCTTAGCTGACAGTGTAGCAGTTGTGAATTTTATTTTTAAGTACCGGAGTACCGGATCCCAAAACGAACACAAGGCCGGACAACTGGAAATTGTTGGTCAAACACATACGAGCATTGATCAAGACTGATTGTCAAGTTGAAACAATCAATGATACGCCCTTCAAAGGCCGGGCCCCCAGTGTGAACGACCTTCCGCTTGCGATAGCGGTTTACACACGCGCGCCTGGCCCTCCCTCTGGAGTCTTGTTTATCGAAGTGTCAAGTCAGTTTCGTGAAGCGTCCAGTGTGCAAAGAGACGTTGAATGTCTGTGAGATTACTGGTGATGGTGGCCGCTTCCTGTGAAAGTGGACGAGTCAATTTTGCCATCTCCAAAAGTACAACTGCAAGAGCGTATTTGAGTGGCAATGTTCAACTACGACTGCAATCAACAATCGGTCATGCGTTCTGGTTTGGGTAAGGTGCGACTCAAAAACAAAGGCTTGTTGCTAGCAAAGGTTGTTTCAAACGAATCCACGCAGGAAAACACGTGGTTATGTAGACTGTAAAACCTGAGCTGGATCCTGAGTGAAACACATCTGGGTCCTGAAAAGTAGAAGCGAAACAGAATGCCGCTGACATGGACACGACAACAGAGCGCTGTCAGGGAAATGGTCGGCACGAGTAGCTACAAACGGAACCGCCTTCTTCTTGGCTGACAATGTATATAGCAGTTGCGAATTTTAGTTAAGTACCGGATCCCACATGGAACAGAATTGAGGCCGTACTGCAGCTGGGAATTGTTGGTCGAACACACAGACTTGTCCTAATCAACTCTTCCCAACTTGTCCTAATCAACTGTGTCACATGTGAGCATTGTGTCCAGAATGATTGTCATGTTGAAACAATCAACGGTAGGCCCTTCGAAGTCCGGACCGGAATTCGAGGGAGGCAAGGATTCTTTAAGCGTGCGTGCACGCGCAAGAAAGACAAATGAAAAAACATGAGGACGGACGACAAAAGGTGTATGTGGTTGCGAAAAAAGGGAACCAAGTGAAAAGGGGCAACCGATGCGCCGAGCCTCCTTGTCGAAAACTGGGCCACCTAACCTATTTCCAGTGTAAAGGTGCACTTGCGCGCAAAGGGTGGGCCAGTGTATGCGCAAAACAAAGACAGGAATGAAGTGACTGGACGTGAAGGTGGACAAGACATGATAAGAACAAAGGCTAATAATATGGGTGCAGGAGCAAATGAAATATGAAGGGGATTCGGTGTGTGCTCTTAGAGACGTAAGTGCTCTGCCCCGAAGGAACGTTGCACGCTGGCAGCTTCTTCACGAGACGGCTGCACGGCCCACAGGAACCGCAGTCTTTGCGCGGGTCAGATTTCGGTGGCCTCCCCGCAGGAACCCCGCATTACTTCTGAAGGGAAGGCCCTTGCCGACTCTAGTCACCCGCGGCCCGCAGTTCACATTGGGTAAGGCTATTGAGGAAAACTTTGGAGTGATGGTAAAGCCCATGACCTCCTAAGTCCACCGCCTACAACGTACAGCTTGTGCAAGCGACACAGTCGACGATTGTCATGCGGACTATAGGAGTTCCACATGCTGCGTTCTCGGCTTAGCCCAGTTGCCATTCAAGTGAAAACCGAAACGTTTTTTGCAGGTACGTTCGGATGATCAGTCCGAATATCACACTTTGTGAGCTAGCTTCGTTGAACTGGGTCAGTCACAGAGTGCCCAGTTCCCCTGCTTCTGAACAAGAACAAGAATCAAGAAGCTTCCGCACACCCACGCATACACACCAACACGCATACCGTCCAATCGTCTCTTTGTAGAGAATGGTCACGAAGCCTGTCTACATGCAATTTGTGTATATAGTGTATATACATATATACTGTAGTACATGTGATTATACAATATTGAAAAATGATATATGCATATAAAGTAGTTCATTTCAGGTGACAGGTGGTGGTGTTGGTGGTGGTTGTGGTGGTGGGTCGTCATATCCAGAAAACTTGCGCAGCAACACACGAAGAAGCAGAACGGTAGAAGCCCGAGAGGATCGCAAGATAGGACACGAACGGAATTTGCAAAATGCACGAACTCAGAAACAAATCCAGCAGAACATGATGGCAAGGGCGAGATGAAAAGAGATAAAACACCGGACGTGGGGGTCCAATGCCAACTTGGCAAGACAAACAATCAACAAAAACTTACAGATTCCGAGATAGAGGTAAACAAAGAGGCAAAGTTGCAGGAGCAGCTTAGAGGCGCTCCAAGAGCGTCTACTCAAGGGGTTGTACTGATCTCGATTGCTATTGCTTAGGCGACCCCCGAGATTGACAGAGAATACAAAAGCACCTAAGCGACTTACTTAGTGGACACATGACTAGGGACTTGACTGCGGGAAGTCGGCCCACGGCCCGTATACGCCTCCCAGTTTCAATACTTTTCTTAGTCTTATGATATGGGATTTACAGATTTACAGAACTTTCTGTGTTTGCCTCAGTTCCATTTGGAAGAACATCATTTTAAAATCAGTCCCAAAACTTGTTCTTCGATCTCACAACATTGTCTTGCGAGGGTGGGGGGTTCCCGGGAGGCCATGATCAAATTCACAAATTTGTCGTCATGACATTGTCTTTGATCTCACAACTTTCTTCACGCCATTGCTTGCTCGTCAGTTCTCCCGTGCAGTCGCAACTTGGTCGCTTTGCTGAAAAAGCAAGGTGGCTGAAATTGACGATAGTTGTGCGCTGTCTAAAAAGGGCTTTTGGAACGTTTTTGGAAGGAAACAACGTTTGCAAAAAGCCTGTGGATCAAAGATGCTCAACTCCTCCAAGGCAAGAGTGACTCCGACGGCAACATATCTGACGGACATGTGTTGCCCAAGGGCGGTTGTCTAGGAGCAGAATCGTTCTGGAATATTATCGACTGATTCTGAACGGTTGCAAGTGCATTGTTTCGCTCAAAGTTCTGCAGTGGGAGTGTGGTTGCGCCGTGTCACGGAGCGAGCTTCCACATTGTGTTCACCCGTAAAATTGCGACGCACCCAGGCCGTCAAGAACCCAAACTCAAGCATTTACAGCACGAATGATCCGTTTACCTATAGGTTGCCTTGATTGGTGGGCATTAAGAAGCCAACCAACACGCAGAATTATATCACCAGTGGTAGGACTCCATGATCTCATTCGTCTCTTTCAACGGTTGAACTGCCGCTGCCTCGGGCAGGTCCATTTGTGCCAAGCCTGACCTTGTCTGCTCGTCTGGGACTGCCGCCTCCCAAACAGTCCATACCTCCTAGCAATCTCAATTTTGCGAGACCAAAATCTGAGCAGTGGCTGGACTATGTGCAATCTGATTGGTTACAGTTTGATGTGAGCTTCTGAATCATTCAAAAGAGTGTTACCGCTTTGCCAGGCTTTGCCATTCACAAGCATTATAGGTGCCCAAAGCAACCCTCCAAATGCAGACTCCAAACTTAAGAGTAGAGGAACATGCAATCGTATTCAGCTCCTCTGGCGTCCTCTGGAAGTCCGCATACGTGTAAGGGAAGAAACCATTTGCTCTGCCCAAATCCGCGTTCCTCTCTGGAAGACTGCGAAGCTGACTGCGAAGGCTTGTACGAGGGGCTCTTGGCCAAATTGGAGGAACAAAGACCTCGGTCTCCACAGTATGAAGCTGTCACTAGCATGCGTTCTGATAATGTTGGGCTGCTAGGCCTAGGGCTAAAGACTATATATCGCATGCATCCTCTGGCTGCGGCCAAAAGCACAGGGGCACAGCAAAGAATCAAGAAGACTCTGCAAGTGGCACCATGGGTCATTCAGAATCGATTCATTAAGAGTTGGTCGGCACTAAACAGCCCTTGAGACTGTGAACACTGAACTTCTGCGAGATTTGCCGCTCCATTGAGTGACTGGCTTCAAATTCAAAGGCATGGCAGCATAGCAACAGGTTAGTGAGTAGTTATATACTTACAATTGTCCTTGTCAGATTGTAAGATTTGATCCCAAGCTGCACAATCCATCCTCCTAGCGATCCAGTGCATCAATTTGTTGCAAACACGTACCAAAAATCAGCAAGTGCAGTGATGTTGTGCGCTCATTCATCACTCTAAGAGGCTTGCGTTGAAGCGAATTAGAGCCACGCTAGCTCCCTTTTGCCCATCCTCAAACAAATAAGACACGCCAAACACAAACAATAATAGTTTTCTGATGTTTTCTGCATTCTATCTGAGAACTCGGACGCCCGTGCTTCCTCCAATAGTGTAGCTCACAGCCTGACTTGGGAAACTCAGCCAATAGCCATTACATGAGTCATTGGAACTCATGTGCAGAGACCCTTTGCAACCGTTCCACTCGGATTCTCTTGCGCAAACTCCAAAATCCCAAATCCATATTTGTCATGAGTCATGGCAAGAATTGCTAGAATCTAGAAGAATCTAGAACCCTGTCTTGAAGTATTGTATGTCTCACAGTCTTCAAAGCCCTACCACCTGCCAACTGCCTAGTATTCATTCCAGCGACTGGTTACATTTCCCCATGCATTGGGGGGAATGTCGACCGTGTGACCTTGTGTGATGATGTTATATTAAAGGCTTGCCTTCTTTTAAAAGGACTCTACCCTAACCTCAACATTTTGGAAGGCAATGTACTTCTGATATCTTTTGTCGTCGTAGGGAGACGATCACTGCTTGGTCCCCCGCGAACAAATGAGGTGAGATCGGGAAAACATGCGCCTCAGGTGTGTGCGAAACATGGTGCTACTCGGGCTGTGCCAAGCACGAGGCACCTTCGAGTCGGTAAGATTGATTTCCAGGGTGTAAATGCACAAGAAGTTGTCCAGGCTCCACACCTCCAAGTGAAGCGCAAAAAAAGCATGGAAGCAAGAAAGTAACAAAAAAGAGAGATGAGATGAGCAAAAGAAGGTAAGAGGCCCTATTGGGCATTGCATTCTTTGTTTCATGTCTTTTTCCTTCTCATATCACTATTTGAATACTGTAATACATTGTAATACTAAATATATCACTTCACATCTCAAAATTGAAGCTCGCACACCTGCACCCGAAGGTCCAAACCACAGGACACTGCAAAGCCTGTCGCGGACAAAGCTTCACTTGATCACCGAGTGTTCAGACGACATGGGTTTATCATCAGGTCTATCCAAACCACAATGTCATATCATCAGGTCTATCCAAACCACAATGTCATTCCATTGGCAATGCGGAGATGCAGGCGCACTCTGCGCCACAGCTTTCTCAGGCCGGTGGTAAAAGGAGACCATCTCAACCTTGAAGCCAATGCATTTCAGTTCAGCTCTTTCCCAATTGCTTTCTTGAGAACCATGCAGGCCGTGTATGACCGTAGAAAGTGTGCTCTAGCCTCGCCAAAGTTGAATAGCCAAGCTGCGACACTTGAACCTTGATAAAATGTTTTTATTGGATAGAGCCCATCTGCGGATTTTGTTGAAGCGATAGGACCTTGTGCCCACGCCATCAGCCACAGCATCTGTCCCAGGACGGGCGTCAAACGCCTCAGCATAAAGGAAGCAAACTTCAATCAATACTTGTATTCTTAAGTGCCTTATTATTTTAGACTTGATTATACTTTTTTGTACTCCAATACAACTGTGATCTTTGGAAACACAAGATCACAAGTTGTTGGACTTTGCTTGCCTGGATGCTCCACAACTGGACGGCTCCATTGGCGGCACCTCACTCAAGCCGACACATCCCTGGTCCCAACCAAGAATGTATGCCAGTTGAGAGACTATGTCACTCAAGCGTGGCATGAATCCTTTTACAAACCCAGAAGGTGCTTTACACAACGACGAGGACATCAACAGGAAAACAGTGAACAAGCCAACCATCTACAACTTCGTGGTGAATATTCAAGGATGTCATTGGTGTAGTATTTGAGCAAAACAACAAACACAAACCACGGCTAACTTGCACACTAAGTGTTCAAAACACTGTCTGGCACGAGCCTGTGATCATCTGAGCTTGACTGGATGAGCGCATGTGCAAATGTGCACAACACACCTTGCAACGGCACATTGGAGTGCTCCGACTTCAATCATATTATCTCAACTCAATAGTTGAAAGGTCGAAAGAACTAGTACTGGTATGTACTGGTAGGCTTGCCAGAGTCTTGAGCCAGTTTTGTTGACATTGCGCTGTCCTGCCTGACATTTTCTATGGTCAACATCAACCCTGCGCCCTGTCACTTTCTGCTAATCCAGGATAATCCAGGCTGAGGCCAAAGTGCCTAATGTCAGATTCTAATTAGTCAAATGGGAGAGAATAATACACAGTTTTCGCAAAATTATTTCAACGCCCTGAATAGTTTAATGGGAGTGAAAGATAAAAGCTCCTTTTTGCCCAGGGTGCTTTTTTGTTGTGTTGTTTACTTTCCTATTGTTCTGTTATTGCTCCCCTTTGAAATCCCTACTTGACTCTCCTGCGGTTTGCTTGATACATGGAATTCTGACCTGGAAATTGCTGTTTAAAATCAGTTACGCTTTCAAATGTTCAAGGGGTAGTAGACGAGCCCAGGGGAAGTGAATGATAAGAATTGTTTAGGGGGTGGGATTAAGAAGTAAACTTGGAGCCCTAAGAACATATCTAAAGGTGCTTTTCTATTATTCTGTTATTGCGCCCTTTTGAATCCCTACTTAACTCTTCTGAGGTTTGCTTGCTTCATGGAATTCTGACCTGGAAACCGTTTTCAACAACGCTTATTAAAACTATCTATGATGCAAAATGGGGTAGGGGGTCCTGCTTGAGATTTTATAGATATAAAACGGCGTGGCGTGACCCCCAATGTGTTCATAAAATGAGCTAGCTCTATAAAATGAATGCGTTGACCGCAAACTTCTTATAAATTGACGCGGTTTGCTACCATCAAGTTAACTGGCATGAAGAGGGCGTGATGTCTATGAAATTCACCGTCCTGACACCACATTCAACATCAAATATATAACTGTTTGGATGTTTTGTGTGGGCGGGCAGGCGCCCGATAATGTGCCCGTGAGACGCATTGGCCATTTTCAATTTGTTTCATGAACATGGTCAACAGCTAGAGAGGATTGTGGCCGAACAAATGGCGATGTCGATGCCGACAAAAATCATTGATGAAGCAGTTTGCTCTTGGGGGGAAAGGCATAGGGCGTACCAAGAAATCGTTTTTGACTAACATTGGTCCAAACGAATTGAAATTGTTTGGAGTCTATGCTGGGATTAAATGAATTTGATGACATATTTTCACAATATCCAACTGAAAAGATCATGTATATATATAGAGTACTTTCATGTACTTCCCAATTCTTGCCTATAAACTTATATCTGGAATCAGGAGGGGCTGCTCAGCTGCAACCAGCTTGCTTTTCTTGGGGGATCTGACATTGAACACAATTTATGGAATAAGCTGGCGAATAGACCACATGATTCCATAGAAAAACACTTTGTGTTGGCACTGGCACTGGCACGCTTCACATTATCTGATGTTTTAAATATTTTTGTGTTATTTTTATAGTTCTTAACCTCATTCCCCGTCGTGAATTTAGATGTGTGTTCTTTTTCTATGTTCTATTTATATTTTTCTTTGAGGCAATCTTCAGGATATTCACTGAAACATCTGCCACATTGTTTGCTATAAAGTCACTCGTATCTACCCTCACTAATGATTATCTATAAAACCAACATGCTCTATAAAATAATACGCAAGGAAGGTTTCTCTATAAAATCAACGTAGTTAGCAGTGACCCTCATTTCATTTTATAGAGAGGTATTGCATCCTAGATTTAAAACTCAACGATTTCATTGCTCCAAACAATTGTAAGGGGGTAGTGCACAAGCCCAGGGGAAGTGAATAATACTAATTGTTTAGGTGGGAATAGTAAAACGTTTTCTTGCCCCAAGTAAAATATCCGCGACGACTACTACTACTACTACTTACTACTACTTACTACTGCTTACTACTGCTTACTACTCCTTACTACTACTCACTACTACTTACTACTTACTACTACTACTACTTACTACTACTACTTACTACTACTTACTACTACTTACTACTACTTACTACTACTTACTACTACTTACTACTACTTACTACTACTT